TCCCGCCTTATTGATCGAAGGGCGTTCAGAAATTCCACTCCTTACTTAGTGTTTCGTCATTTCAGTGAACGTTCTGTCACTGGTTACCATGACTACTTCTAATGTCAATTAATATACCTATGTCAATAATATCTGTTCTTTGTGTTAGAATACTTACTTACCTATTGCTTACATAAGATTGTTTATCCTATAAAAATGAAGTCCAAATAATGTCAATTCATTTTCATTACACTTGCTTTAGTTCAAGATTCTATCAAAATATTAAGTGTATTAGATAATAGTTACACTAAACTGGAAAACTACAATCCCATTGCATGTCTCTAAAAGTGAGCGCCTGCGTTACACGTCATCCTTGATATCCACGTATTTGACGTTGATATTTACATATTCGAAGTTCCTTAAGTGCGCCAAAATTCCGAACGCACCCCATGCGGCGCGCTCGCCGGCCAGTGCGTCGCGCGACTCCGCACCCGTCGCGTGTCTTTACGTCCAAATACTTCCCGGTTCATTGTACTTCAAACTCACACAAAGAGATTAATTAAATTTTTGTAAGACTGTCAATAACTTCATCGTTCATTTGTTACGGTTAAGAGATAAAGATGTGTTGATAGACGAGTTGCAAGTGATGGTAGCGATATGTTGACAAAATAAACGTCTATGGGATGCTGAGGGGTCGGTGAGTGTTGTGCCTACTGGGAGCTCCCAACGACGTCGGGTGATAATGCAACATCACCGCGCGCGTGCCGGGGTTTACTTACGGATGTCGAATAAATCAGCGGATTGGGGTTCCCATTTAGATTCTTTCCAATTGATGTATTTGTTCTATTAATTTGTTTGGTTTATGGCGCCGGCTAATTCCTACCTTTGCCTGTTCTCTTAGCTTATTCGCTGAAATCACGAGTGACGTCGATTTTGTATTAATAACTTGGTTTTTAATTTAAACACGTCTATGGTCTACGTACCATAGTTTCATGGTCGTGGCATCCTAATAAACAAAGTCTGGTACCATTCACTCGTATGACCATAATTACTTAGACAACGTGGTAGTCAAATTAAAGCGTGCAACAATGTATAATAACAAATCGAAGTCAATACATACATGAGTCGACCTAATTCACTAGTGAACCAAAAATAAAACGTAATGCCACACATATTGGCAGCTAGCGTGGCATTTGCAATAAAGCAGAAGGCGAATATCCGTTACCTTTTTCAGGTTACAAGGACAGCAAATGTGGTCCTTCGATGAACCGTTCGTTATTTCCTCGGGGCAATTTACTGAACATCTTTTTTTTTCACTGGCATCTTAAAGAATGTTCATGTTTACTGTTGTGTAGAAGATTCAGTGGTAGAGATCTGAATTATTAATGCCTACTAGCGCAATCTCCCTTAACGTCATTACATAGAGGCGTCCCTTAGTTTAACCTTGATGTTATTACCAAGTATAGTGAATCTGCAAATCTTAACCCGTGTAAGCTGTCATCAGGGGTATTTGTTACGACAAATTATTATATTAGTGTATTGAGCACAGAAATAATCCAAAAACAAACATTAACTTTTAAGCACAATTTAATTTAATAGCACACATTTGGAGACTAGTTTAAAAGCTTTCGACAGTATTTGTTTGATTTTCCATTTCAAATAACGCTCGCGACCATAAAGACAGGGGTTGACGCATCACGCTCGGCTTGTCGTAAACAGCGAGGGTATGCTAAAGCTATCGTAACCTGTACTTAAAGACTGCGGTAACACGTTTCATGTAATAATCACGAACGAAAGTTTTAAAACATACGCTCAACTGATTAGTGAACTAGTCCCACATTGGGTGCCAATTTCATTTTTATTTAAAATTATCAGATTTGTATTTTTTTGTATTTTATTTAAATATCTGTACTTAATGTGAAATTTAGTAATTCTTCATTATCAAGGGCTGGTAGGGTGTTGTGATAAATAGTTTCCCCACAATGTCCTGGCGCTTTGTGTTTGATGGCGCACATTACTTTAACTGCCTCCGTGGCCGAACGGTTACCATACCGGACTGCCACGCAGAGGTCCCCGGGTTCGATTCCCGGGCCGGGAGAAATATTTGTATGGCCTACATTTATTTCTCTCGTGAGTTTGGGTGTAATTTGTGGTTGTCTATGTGTGTGTCCATGGCACCCGCGACACAGGGTTTCCCTAGTGCGGGGTTATGTTGAGTGTGTGCGTTATTATTATTATTATTACGCGAGTGGCTAAAACAGAGTTTCACAAACATGAAAACAGACTACTGCTAGAATAGAAAGTTAAAATGTAAAAAAATAAACTGGAGTTTTGAAATACTTATTTAGTTGTAATCTAGCGTAATCAGTCACAGACCAAATATGTGTATTTCCATATTAGGTGGTTATAGTACGGAAAGACAAATTTTTGTTCGACCGATTAAGACCTACCTTACATAATTTATCAAGACAGTAACATTCGTAAAGCTCGTATCGATCCACCTATAGGAGCAATAAATTAAAAGAGATTTAAACGCGTGTCGATGCTAAGTTACACCATAACCATTAGCGGGCTGGCTTGTCGACGTGACAGACTAAAGAACGGGCATGTTGCATAACAGGCACAGAGGCTCTACGCACGGGGTTCGTTCACCCTCTGCAGGGGTTGTACGCACGCGAGTAAACAATAATGCGCTTCACAGTGCTCACTTTTAAGTCTTTATTTCATTGCATATCTAGAAAACCTACGTTTTTGCAGGGGGACTTTCAGCCGAAGCAAATTATGTTAAACAATCTTTTTTACCACTACCTAGGGGCAAATTTTGTTTGAGACAGTCGGACAATGTTTTCTAAAGCAGAGAAACAATTCAAAATGTTTTGAACTACTACGGGAACGGTCAGTTTGATAAAAACCAAATCATCACGCTAAATATTTTACAAAGTTTTGTACCACATTCATACTATTAGGTACCTACATTTTTGTACATAGAAAGGCTTGATTTCTACATATGTGACACCTTTTTAAGTGTCTTTCTCAAAATTATCTACGTATGTAGAATTGTACATTAATTATATTTTAACAGAAACCAAAAATGTATTATAAGGACCTTGTAATTACTTGCGATGACAGTGTGAACAAAATAAAAGGAAAGTATCTACAATGCAAACCTTCTCATTGACCAAGTGCATATCAGTGGATCATGTATCTAGACTGTAGGTAGTTAGTCGCACCGTGCGCAAGTTTCCGACGGGCGAAGTTAAGTATAAATCCAATTTGCTCTAGCGCGCTTCCTGCCACAAAGCCGTCTCACCCCAGACGTGTCTGTGTATCGAATAGAAAACCAAATTTGTATTCAATTTTTAGTAACATACTGTATTCAGGGTGTGATACAATTTTAAAACTGATGTTGCCTCTCTCGAGTCCCCCGTTGGGCGCCAAATGTATGGAGTATGGACCAACAATTACAGTAATAGTAATTTGGATAACTTTGATTGTGGTATAACAAAGACCTTTTCAATCTTTAAACAAAATCCAGCTTCCAAGATCATCAAGTACTTCGTTTGCATATTCATCACGCCAAATTATGCAAGTGGCATCTCAGTCGGTGATCTGTATTCATAGTCGACAACGAGTCGGAAAATGCAGCAATCTGTGGTTATGGTGAACCCAGCACAGTTTATTGTGAGGCCCAAGACTCTTCACACCTTGATAGAACTAGGCTGGTGAATATATTGAGATCATATATTTTAATTTTCCTAAAAAAAGGAACTTATGTTTCTGCTTTTAGTATAGAAATGAAGTTAAGTAAGTCGTTTAGGCCTATTAACACAGCTACATAGATACCTCTCAACAAAGGTTTCGAGATCTCGCAATGGAGGGTGCTCGAGTCTAACTAGGTTCGTCCCCTTTCCACTGTCCTCCGGCTACTGTCCACTTCCACTGAGTCGACAGAACCTCCCTCCTTGGCATGCCTGCCTGGTTTCGCTTGAATAGCGGTAGAGATTAGAATTCATAAACGGTTGACTGAATATGTTATTAATGTGAGTAAAATGTTCTGTAACAACATGACTATTTGCATATCTAGATTGCACCAAAATGTAATTCATAATGAGTGTATTTTTTAATCAAACAAACAAAAAGTCGATCGAAGTCAATGTGTACACAAATGTGCAGCAAGCTCACTCACTCCTATTTCTCGTTGTCCACAATGAGGCCTGCCGGTAGATGACATTGTATTGTTATTCCTTGTAGGGGACGCTTTGGTGAGGGTCTTAAGTAGGTAGCCACAACACGCGGTCAGGTGGAAACTCAAATAAAGGGACGCATTGCCGGCCCTCCAGCGGGGAGCAGCGATTCTCGTAATTATCGCGTTATTGTTGATGTCATCAATATTTAACTAAACCGATGACACCCTAACAAGCGAGTCGAAATCTACACTTCATGTTAAATGCGGAGAGTTACAATTTTACAGTTAACTTGACTATCTACCTGTCAAATCCATTGATTGCCTTTGCACGTGCGATGACATAAAGTTTCGCTTAAAATAAGGTGAAAAAAATTCTAATCCCTAGAAGGGGCACGCTCAAAGTGACGATAAAATATCCAACTAAAACCACCTACCCCCATCCACATCGTCACACAAAGCATATTGTCATTATCATGGCTTCTACACCCCCCCGAAATCAAATAAAAACCGACATTTCTCTCCTTTAGCCAATGCCTATTTACATGATGTAAGCGATAACTCTCTGAAATTGGACACACGTTCCAACCACACACAGCAAGCAATACTTAAAGACAACGTAGTAGGGCGGTGAGCGGTGAGCCCCGCGCGCGCCCCTAGGGGAACGCCGGCATTTCATTATCCTACGCGGAGGTAACCGATTTCTACAATAGGGGACTAATGCATTTATTCGATATTGACTATGTTAAGTTGTAATCATTATTTTATGGAACATTCCCGAAATAGTAGGTACCCACAGGCGCTGGTCATTATTATCACAAGGTCGTGTCTGTTGCAGATGAAATGTGGAGTCCGGTGGACAGCGGCGGAGCGGTGGATGCGGGTACCGGCGGGACACGCACAGCGGCGGCGCCCTGCTCGCGAGGGAAGCACTCCGCCACGCTAGTGGGCTCGTACGTGTACATCCTGGGCGGCCGCGGCGCCGGCGGCTCCGTACCACTCAGAGACTTCTGGAGATTTCATTTAGGTGACCATATCTAATTTCTAAATTATGTCTCTTTCTATCTTCCGGTAACAGTATTAACGCAATAAAAAACGTACATACGAATTACAGACTTATTGTTTTTAGCTTACATTTTATTAGATTTGTGTACTTACCTAAGTGTTTTCCGAATTTCGCGTGAATATTGTATCCAAGAACAATAACTGCGCGAGAAGTAAAATTTTGTGGCTCTATCTCTCTAAATATTACGAGTCAAATGAGAAATAACCATTCCAAAGTTTTTTTCGTTCGCACGTTCTTTAAAATTTTATTTGAAAATGTCTGAAGTATAGACAGCACGGGCGCATACTTTTCTACAACATAGTTTATACACAAGAGTGTGAGAGGACACTGGCTCTTCTTTGTTACTATTACTAAGAATAGATTAAATTTTCAGATATTTTGCCACTGACTGCACCTACGTCTAGTTTATTACATGATGTACTTACTGATCATTTCCGTCCCGCCGCCGTGAAATCATAGACCACTAGATCTCATAAATCTAAGTTTAGTTGGGAGGTTTCCACAATCAAATTTACTTTGTGCAGGTACTGAACAGTGGGTTTGGTCAAAATGACTACACAACAGACAGCGCTACAAAACGTAGCTTAATAATATTTAAGAGATCGATCCGTTATTTTCTTGGAAAACTCATTTCAAAGACTAGCGAACTGGCGAGGAACGGTTTCCGCGCTAAGGGCCATCGAGTTTGAAACGACGAGTCGCTGTCGTGAACAGCGCTCTTTGATTGGCACTCGTTGATCGCAAAATGGGTTATAAACGCTCTGGAGTTAGTGTAACGAAGTTAACATCTACAAGATAAGGTTATCGGTTTTATCACAAACGTGGTAACTTTATTTCCGATAGCGACTTAATGATCATTTCGATAAAAATTTATTGCATGTATTATACCCTCTAAAATAGAGTAAACAAGTTAATTTCACAATAAAGCCAGATATTCAAATCGTTCCTCCACTATAGTCATCGGGATCCTGCGCTTTACAATTCGGACTTCGGACCGACTAATATAAATAAATAAACAAATAAAATTGTTTATTGAATAACGTATTGTACAAGTGAATAACTAAAGACTAATTATGCGAATAAATGTAAAATATAACACATATACCTGAACTAGGAGAATCCTAAAATACTGATTATACAGGTGAATATATGATGATTAAATTATAAACAAAAATCATCATCATATAGTAAGTGGCAGAGCGGAATTAAAATTTTAAAGTGTAAAGGGATTTATTTATATTATTTTTCTCACGATGAAGTTCTCACAGTCGCAGGTATCGGAACGTACTTAGCACAAGCTTAATTGTTTCTTCGGATAATATTTGTGTCGTCGCAGGCACCGGCAATTGGGAGCGCTTGGAGACACAGGGCGAAGCTCCTCCCGCGCTGCAGGAACACACGGCTACGGCCCACGGGAGCAAACTGTACGTGTTCGGCGGAGAGGCCGGATCCATCTCCACGGAGACGCCGCTCTGGATCTACGACACGGAGGTACCGTCTCCGTCTCGGTGACGCGTCGTTTAAGTTACAATATCTAGGAACCCAGCTCATATTTTATTCTTCAGACGTCATTATGGCGAAAGTTGGTGGGCGCGACGGAAACTCTGCGCAGTCGCAACATTCGCGAGCAAAAGAACGGCGCGATCAGCCCGCGCGGCCGCCGCGGTCACTCGGCTCACGCGTTGAAAGACTGCCTGCTCATTTACGGCGGGTATAAGGACTTCAGAGGATCCACGAACGAGCTATGGGCTTTCCATTACGGTAAAATGACCAGACTCACGGTTACTATTAATTATTTCAATGCCTCAATACCGGAACGGCGGTCGACGATCGCCCGGTTAACGTCGCGCTACTCCCGGCCGGCGCGAACGCTGACGGCTCACCGCATCCTTTTCTCCGAAGAAGCGAGACCGGCTCGCTTTTAAAATATTTCTTACAATACCTCGGCGGGACGTTCAACCACCTATCACTAAGACAAAAATATAAGCATATCGCGCGAGTTTGTCTCTCGTCTCCGTTCGGTGCGCGCGGTACGGTCGATGATGGGTGGCGATCGTCGGCAGCATCGAGTATATAATCAGACATTGAGACGAAATAAGGGCTATATATTCCTGATAACACATTAGCGATACAGCTCTTATAAATATCAATTCCCGTTTGCAGTGAAATATAGACAGGCCAACTACTGACCTGTGTGTACATCTCCGTAAATTCCAAAAAATATTCTGTATTTATTGTAATAAAGATAATATCTCTAACAATGCCGTGCTGTTCTGTTCGGTGGTGTGGGAAAAACAGCAAAACATCTAATTACAAAACAAATGGAATCACATTTCACCGGTAATAAATATTGAATACGTAATTTTTCAATTTTCGTCCATTATAGCAAAGCTCAAGTTATCTGGTCGATTTGAAGTGAAACAGTTGACGACACCCATTGACGACGCCCGTCAATTGTTTCGAACTCGGGCTGGCCAATCGGAGCGCAGTCGTCACAGTAATGATATGGCAGAATAGTTTTCAAAGAAATGAAATGACATTTCGTCTCTATTTCCGGTTACACACTCGATGGTCGGCAGAGACGGAGTGGTGGCAGCAGGTGCGGCAGGGCAACGCGGGCCCGGCGCGGCACCGGCACGCCGCGGCGCTGCACGACTCGCGCCTGTACGTGCACGGCGGGCAGCGCGACCTGCGCGACTGCGCCGACCTCTGGCACTACGACACGCGTGAGTACGGCGCGAGGACGGCGGCGGCGCCGGCCGCCGCGGCGTCTGACCGGCCGCCCGCCCGCAGTGTCGCGGATGTGGACGCAAGTGCGGACGCCGGCCAAGACGTCGCCCGCCGCGCGCAGCGGCCACGCGGGGCTGCGCGCCGGCGCGCACTTCTACATCTTCGGCGGCGAGGTCGACGGGCACCCCACCAACGAGCTGTGGCGGTTCCACTTCGGTAAGTGCCGGCGGGCCGTCGCCGCGCCCGCACGCCCCGCGACGGCATCGGAAGGCATCGGCTCTTCCAGCGACCGAGACGTGGGAGCGCGTGGCGCAGGGCCTGCAGTGGCCGCTGCCGCGCGTGGACTGCGCCGCGCTGCTGGTGCCGGGCGCCGGGGCCGCGCCGCGGCGGGAGCCCGCGCCGGCGCCGCGGCCCGAGCCGCCCGCCGGCTCCATGCGCGAGCTCTCCAAGCTGCCGTCGTTCCGGCTGCGGCGCGCCGCGCGCTGCTCGTACAGCGTGCTGGGCGAGCGCGACTCCACCGAGAGCCTGCCGCGCGACGCGTCGCCGGCGCTGCCCAAGTCGCGCTCGTCCGCGGCGCTGGCGCGGCCGCCGCGCGCCGCGTCGCCGCGCGAGGCCGACGAGGCGGAGCGGCCGGCGCAGCCCGCGTCCGTGCCCGACTTCGCCGACGTGGCGCTGGCCTCGGACGAGGACGAGGGCCCGCGCCGCCCGCCCGTGCGCAAGTCGGCGTCGGTGCGCTTCACCGCCGACGACGAGGGCGAGCTGTCCACGTCGGACTACGCCAGCGCCGAGGCCGGCTTCGCCAACCCGCACTACCTGGGCCCCGACGTGCGCGGGCTGGGCGCGGCGCTCACGCCCGACTCGGGCGTGGCGCCCGGCGACATCGAGCTGCAGGAGCTGCGCCGCCCGCGCCCCGCCCCCGCCCCCGCCCCCGCGCGGCTGCACCTGCTGCTGGTGGGCGGCAAGGACGCGGCGCACCCGCTGCTGCGGCGCCCGCTGTCGCTCTGGACCTACCGCCTGCTCTAGCCCCTCGTGCGGCCGACGACTATGAATTTCTAGACACGATTTTACGGTAGAATTTTACGAGGCTTTAGACGAGACTGTGACGTCCATTTTGTAACGGGAGGCTGTCGCGTGGAGCGCCGATTCCGGGATTCGTGGGAATTCTTGTAGGTCGATACCTAGTTTCGGGAGGCATTTGTTGAATTTTTTTCTTATATTTTTATTGTTACTTTTATTTACGTTATTAATTATTGAGTTTCACTTTTTTACGATGTGCGATTATACAAATACCGTTAAGAAACTCTTCCACCGTCGATTAGTCGTATAGGAGAAAGGAAAAGAAGGTATACTCAAATAACCGATCTCCAGACGTGTTTACCTAACAGACGTAGCATAGCGTAATACTTATTACGTACACGGCCGGCAGTAGCGCTAGTGCGAAGACCGAGAAACGTACGTAGTACTTTCGATTATACAACTCTGCGAACATGATGCGATGTCGCGACAACTTTATGACGCACGGACTGTGTTTCAGTAAGTTTACTTATGATTAAACACTACAATGATAAAATATATCGGTAATTTTCAGGTTAATTTTCTCCATTTAACTTTAGTGGCAATTTCTATTACGTAAATATTTATAATACGAAGTATATTGATTAATATTGTCATGAGGAATTCGTTCACATTTCTCCTGAAACGTGGCTTTTTGAGCTATCACTCTACTACACGTTTGATGATAGTATTGTATGATACTATTAATTAATTTACTATTAATAATTTGACGTAAGAGTAATTGACTGATTGAATATACATTTCATTTTTTTATTGTTGTTGTGAAACTAATTATTATTATTCGTTATTATTATACACATGTTTTTTTTTTAATACAAATTGTGTGACTTGTAACTTATCTGCAATGGTCAAACGTGTTCCACATATCGACTGTGAACTGGCAACCGGATCTATCTCAATTTTCTAAAGAAATCACTGTTTGTATAATTTAAAAAGAATTTAAATATGAAAACGATAAATTTTAACCGTATTAATTATTTATATCTGTAAATATAGCACTTACCATGACACAGTTTGAAGGGACGAGAAAGAGCAAAACTAGTGCTGTCATACACACATTTTGTGTCTTTGTGCCTTAACAGAGCCCTTTTCATAACAAAGCCACAATTTTTGCAAAATTATTTTAAAAAGCTAAATGTGAAAAGGCTTCACTAAATTATAATTTATTGTATACGGGAAGCCTTCTCACATTTAGCTTTTTAGGATAATTTTGCAAATATTGAGCTCGAAGTATGTATAGTTTTACCGTTA